GCCCTAAAAACTGGACCACCTGGGCCTCATCCTACCCATCAACCCCCATTCCCTGCAACCAGCGCTGCCATACGGGCTCGATCTGGCCCTGCCATGGCCCGAATAACATCATGGCCACCATGGGGATCAAAAACCCACAGTATTCGCATGCGTGGCCTGGCTCCCACCCATGGCATATGGATTGGGGCATACCGCATGAATAACACGCGCTATATGGCGCGTATTGCACTTGCCGACGCACGCAGATCATCCATGCCCGTGCGGCCTGGCTGTGGGGCTGATGACATGCATATAACTCATGGCCACCATCACCCCCTGCATGGCGCATATATAACATTGGTCCTGCCACTGCATGCATTCAGCCTGGGCCATCTCCTCATCCAAACCCTGCTGGGTCCGATGCTGCTGCTGCTGGATATCCATGGCGGCCCACTGCTGGGCCTGCGCCTGCTGGGCGTGCCATACTGCCATGGGAATGGATGGCTGGCTGCAAAATGACTCATTGGATGGGGTGGGACTGCCTGATGGTGGGGTCACCCTGTATGGTGCCTCTCTGGCTGCCTCTCTTGCTACCATGCTACCTGCCTGGCATGGGGCCTCTCTGACTACCTCTCTCCCTACCTCTCTCCTGCCTCTCTCCCTGCCTCACTGCCTGCCTCACTGCCTGCCTCACTGCCTGCCTCGCTGCCTGCCTCGCTGCCTGCCTCGCTGCCTGCCTCGCTGCCTGCCTCGCTGCCTGCCTCACATGGGGCCTCTGGGCTGCCTCACCCAGCACTAGGCTGCTACCAACCCTGGCTGGATCCACCTCCAGCTCTGCCCAATTGGGATCACACCCATCACATATCTGCTCCCCAGGATCCGCATCCTGGCAATACCGCCGCTGATACCCATCCACCACTCCATCCAAATACTGATCTAACACAACCCAGCGGCACCAATGCCTTCCACCACCCCATATACTCAGCAACCCGCTCCTGGTCCTCAGGGCGACGCCCTCCATCCATGGAGCTGGGTATCCCACCCAGCTGGCTAGATAATGATTGCCTCACTGCGCTGTCCATCTCACCCAGCCCAGCCACTCTCCTGCGCGTAATCCAGTAATGTCCGGGGGTCCCAATATGGATGATGCTGCGGATATTGGGGATGTCCACCCCCATGCCCAACGCGCTGGTGGCGGCGATCACTGGGCTGGCCCCATGAACCGCGCCAGCACCCAGCCTTGTCCAACTGCTCGCTGTAATATGCCTCGCACCCAAGCACCCGCGCCATGGCCGTCACCTGCCCAATGATATTCGCATATATAATCACCTTCCCCCAGCAGCCCGTCAGATGCGGTCCTGAATGAATGCTACCACCACCTCACTCTCAATCCACTGATATAGGCCCGGCCACCCCGGTCATGTCTGGCCGCCACACCCAGTATGCCACGTTCGGCCGGCTGGTCCAGGCCCGGTATATGGTCACAGCGGCCCGGTCATACTTCATCCGCCAGCATAATTCAGCCTCCATGCTCGGGGGCAACGTGGCGGTTAACCATACCATCTAGGTGCGGGCCTGGACCAACCAGCCCAGCTGAGCCATCTGGGCCGGAAATCGCGTTGGGAATTCAACACCACATGGCATTCATCAATCACAATCCGGTCCAACCGCCGGGTCCACCGCAGCCAGTTCAAAAACATCTGGAAATCAGGGCTCACCGCGGATTCAGGCGTCACTAACACAATGGATGCAGCATCGGGGGCCGCTGGCTCTCCCATGGCATACATGATATGCTGAGCTCCTGGCAGCGCCTGGTCATATCAGCCCGTAATGCAATGAGTGGCACCATAATAATGGTGGTGCCCCCGGGGGCAGTGAACGCGGGCACCATGAACAGCATGCTCTTCCCCCCACCGGTGGGCATCACCGCCACCACAGGGCTCTCACCCTGCTGGATGGCCCGCATTGCCGGGTCCTGCACCCCCCAGAACCACATGTCAGGCCGCCCAGTCATGCGCTGCGCGGCTGCCTCCAGATCCATAGTGGCTAGCTGGTGGCAGCATTCCATGCGGCTGACCTCAGCCTCATCCTCCCACGGGCCCATTTGCGCTTGCCTAATATGGATGGGTGGCCCAGGGCGCTAAACCCTAAAAACTGATGCTAATCGGTGCTGGATAACCGGAACATCTCCCACCGGTGGGCTGTGCTGCCGGCCTGTTCCTGCATGACACGGCCATATACCATGCCAGCAACGTGTGATGAATGGGCAGCCTGTAAATCAGCAATATGGCCTATCCACTGCTTGATATCCATGCCCTCCTCAGCATCAGCATCCATGGCAGCTGGGGCCGGCTCGGCCTCCTGGATATTATGGGGGAACGCGGTGGACGGCCGCAAAAATCAGCGGCTGATGCCAATGGCGATGTCCCGGTATGCGGCGATATGGATGGCGGTGCCTAGCCAGGTGCAGGTTTCCCATTTCAACGCCTCCTGGAACCGCTCAGACGACCATTCGCGGCCAGTACCAGGGTCAGGGCCCCATAACCATGCCTGCATGGCCTGGTTCCCCTGCGCGGGCTGGCTCCCCTGCGTGGCGTCACTTCCCTGTGCGGCCCGGCTTCCCTGCACGGCGTGACTTCCCTGCTCAGTGTGACTTCCCTGCGCCGCCTGACTTCCCTGCGCCGCCTGCGCCGCCTGCCATGCAGCCAACTGATTAATGAATGGCATCACCAGCCACATATACCATACTACTAACTCCCCGACCTCCTGCGGCACATATCGATGGATGATCTTGACATTATTGCTAGCATGGAATCCCTTATGATATGCCGTCACAAATGTCACCATGCCATCCTCGATATATATATTCCGCTGTTGACTATTTGCCGTGTTGCAATGCTGAATGCTTAATAACTCTGGGGCCCAGGCCAGCTGCCCTGCAGTGACATGCACGATAATTACTAATTTCTCCTTAAACTGGGCCACGCGCTGCCAATACTGCTGGATGGCAGCGGGGTGGAATCGGCTGCCCCGCAGAAAATGCCGCTGCATAACCGGCTCGGCCCACAGCCGGTTGATCATCCAGTGGGTCCCATCCACCGGCCACTGGGTCCGTGCATCGTGCAGAAAGTTCCACCCTGCCTGGCTCTGGCTGGGATCGTCATATAATGCTGTCCAGGGAATGGCAGGCATCTGCACATAATCCTGCATGCACAAATGGCCTAGTATCTCCCTCACTGCAGTCACTAATCCATGGATGAATCCCCGAAAATCCCCCATCGTGAACGCCATCTGCTGGTATAATAACTGGTCCTCGCCCATCCACGTCACATGTCCGGGCGCGGTATGATTATAATGGACCTTTAATCCATATGTGCGCCAGTCTAGCAATGTTTCCATGGGGCCATGTGTCCCACGGATCATAAACTGGTGCATCATCCATGTCACCTGCTCCTGGAATGGTCGCCGGCTCTGGCGAATGTTGACTGCGGGTAATGGATCATCGCTATGGATGGATGATGGGGGCGATGATGGTGGTGATGATGGGGGGTCATCACTGCTATATCCCTCATTAATCTCCCCAAGTTGATCATCTGCGCTAGCTAGCACCCATTCAGCGCTCTGGTCCTTTTATATCCAGGTCTGAATGATCTGCCATGGATTTGGGTCCATCCATAGTGCTTTCTGGACCACTATGAATCGGGCCACCTTGATCACACGGGATAATATTGGGGGTAGCTCTCAGGGTCCCGCCAGCCAGCCTCACCTTAACCGAGCACCGCCATGGCGCATACTAATGCACTCTTATATTCATGACTGCAATGGCGCTGGTTAAGCAGCTCAATGCAAAATTCTAAGCATGCTTTTTCTATCATGGTCATCACCCATACCTCTAGGTCCTCCAAGACCTCCCAGTCCCCTGGAACTGCGGCCTGGCTAGCAAGCTGCCACAGCTGCTGCCATTTCTAGCACTGCCGCACAGTCATCCCATATTTTAGACTTATCCAGTCATGCGGCACCTGCGTGCAGGCAATGAATGCTAATATCTGCTGCCATGGATGGACATGCTTCTGGATCGCCGCCTCATCCATATACGCCAGCAGCGGCCGGTATGGTGTCTGTCCTTTTTCAGACCAGACCGCTTCCACCCAAATGGCCTGGCCGCAGTGCTAGACCATCTGCTGGCTCTTGCAGGCAACCTACTCCATTGTATGCCAGATCACCTGCACGCACTGCTCAGTGGCATCCTGGGGATCTTCCTCCGGGGCCGCCACGCAGGCAAGTAGGTTATGCGCCTGGATACCCTGCAGATAGTCCGCCCACCAAGTCATCCGCAGCCAGGGATTCGCGTCAGTCAACTGGCTCGCCTGGATCGCCTGATCGGCCTGAGCGCGGGCCTGCGCCTGCTCCCACGCCTGCACCACCTCATCTACCGCAGCCTGCACGCGCTGGATCGATGGGGCGGGGGGACTCCATCTGGATATCGAATATGGATATAGTGGGACCCGGGACCACTAGGAAACACCTGCTGCCATGAGACATATTGGAATGACTGCTGCACCTCAGTATCACCCCTAGCCTTCTCCTTCTGGCTAACCCGCCCGCGATGACTCTGCTGGGACCACTGGTGAACAACCTGCCAATGCTTTCGCATAGATTTAATTGTTGCTGCTATATATTCGCATTTGGTTTGATCACGCAGGCAGCGCAGGCCATCAGAATGAGATGGTAATATAGGCAGCGGCTCATCTAATGCTTGAGGTATCTGGATAGTGCTACTATCATACTGAATATCCTGCCATTTAGATATTGCCTCAGTGATCTGGATTGCAACTGCATGCTTTAGGGAGTGCTTCTTCTTTAGATGTTGTTCAACCTCTGTTGGTCGTACCCCATGCTTGCATTGACGGCAGATAAGAATACCTAAGGTAGGCACCTGATGAAATAATTGATTTTCCATGATAGTAAGGATGGAATGGATAGTCGTGAATGAATAGTGATGAATGAGTAAGATACGGAAACATCTTTACCCCTGAATCTAAGGTATGGTTAGTCTCGTGAGGCTGCACCTGATGAAAATCCGGCTATTAATGATGAGAATTCAACCACTAACCACCTCTTTATTCTAAGTTAGATTCTCTTAAAATTTGATCTAGTTATTAATAAGGGCCAGGTATATTACCGATTAAAATTTCAGGATGATACACCTTAGGATCTAATTATGATGGTAGAATCTAATTATAATAGCCCTTATTACTCTATCCTTTGTAGGATACGCCGCACCCCACGAAAATCAGGCTGTTGATTATGTAGAATTTAACCACAAACCATCTCTTTATTCTATGTCAGATTCTCTTGAAATTTGATCCAGTTATTAATAAAGGCTAGGTATACTACCTATGAAATTTTCAGGATGATACACCCATAGAATCTAATTGCGATGAGCCCTTGAAATCAATTCCACCCAGCACCGCCAAGGAATATTTCCGCCAATCAGCACACTGTAAATTTTCGACCCTAATAGCGATGAGCCCTCATCGCTCCATCCCTTGTAGAATAGAGTATATTAAATACCTATATACCTAATCCCTTATTCCCTAGCTCTAAAAGCTACCCTTATCCTCCCCCTACTATAAAGGGGCCCTATTATTTTATAGATTTAGTATATCTTATTCTACTAGATATAATAGATAGGCCTAGATAGGTCTAGATAATTATAGAATTACTAGGCTAGTATAAGTTAAATATATTTATTTCCCTTTATTATATATATTTATATGTAAATATATATTCATAAATTAAATATCTCCCTAGATCTAGATGACTCTACTATATATATAGTTACTAACTAAAGCTTTACCTACATCTGAATGACCCTACTATATATATATTTTAGACCTGTTAAAGCTGAATCACCTAGTTAAGATAGCTAACACAGGGACCTATTAAGCTAAATTACTAGGCTGAGCCATACTGAATCACCTAGTCTAGATAGCCTATGCAGAGATCTATCAAAGCTGAATTTCCTAGTTAAGAGAGCCCACGCAGGGACCTATTAAAGCTAAATCACTAGGCTAAGCCATATCAAATCTTCTAGACTAGACCCCCCACACAGGGACCTATTGAAGCTGAATCACCTAGTCTAGATAGCCCACACAGGGACCTACCGAAGCTGAAACATCTAGTCTAGGTAGCCTGCTTATAGGCCTCTCCCTACTAGACTACTAAGTCTAGACCTACTCTCTAAATGAAATCTATAAAACATTAACTTCTATAAATTTTTAAAAATTCTAGGCTTAGCATTACTAAACATGCTATATATCATTCTTCTAGTTAAAATATGGCCTATTCACTAAAAATGATGATGATTAGTCAGCAGGTAATAAATTTCAAAGTGTTTTTTAAGAATTTTTAAAAAATCAGGAATCATGCTTATATAATCAGACTATTATTATTCTATAGCTAAAAGTCCCTACTACTTACTAAAAATATTTATTATTAGCCATCTAGTACTAGGCTCTTTATAAATACTAGAAATTATTTTCTCATAATTTCTGCCTGAATTCTAAGGCTCTACTAGGCTAGTAGATGCCTCAGGCAGTGTCTATACTAGGTGGTGGCCTAAAGGGGTATAGGCTTCCCGCAGATAGTGGTCTTGGCACACCCCAACAAAAAAATTCGACCTTACCCCTACCCTCCTAGTTCGACCACCTTCCTGGTGAATAATCTAGAATTTAATATTAGAATATAATAATTTAGCTAATTAGAATCATAAATCATTTTAAATCATTCAAAAATATTAAGATTTGATAAAGTTAAGGGGTAGGGAGGAGTTACCCTCCTCCCCTCCCCCCCTGTCAACCCTAGGATTAGTATGATGCCCTCCCCTAGGCATGGGCACTTATATTGTTTGGCCTCTCCCTACTAGACCACTAAATCTAGACCTACTCTCTAAATCAAATCCATGAAACATTAACTTCTATGAATTTTTAAAAATTATAGGCTTAGTATTACTAAGCATGCTATATATCATTCTTCTAGTTAAAACCAGGCCTATTCACTAAAAATAATTATAATTAGTCAGCAGTGAATAAATTTCAAAGTCTCTTTTAAGAATTTTTAAAAAATTAGGAATCATGCTTACATAATCAGAATATTATCATTCTATAGCTAAAAGTCCCTACTATTTACTAAAAATATTTATTATTAGTCATCTAGTACTAGGCTCTTAATATATAGTAGAAATTATTTTTCTCATAATTTCTGCCTGAATTCTAAGGCCCTACTAGGTTATTTAATGCCTCAGGCACTAATTCAGGCTAGGTGGTGGCCTAAAAGGGTATAGGCTTCCCGCAGATAGCAGTCTTGGCATACCCCAACAAAAAATTTCAACCTTACCCCTAACCCCCCAGGTCGACCACCTTCCAGGTGGATAATATGAAATTTAATATTAGAATATAATAATTTAGCTAATTAGAATTATAAATCATTTTAAATCATTTAAAAATATTAAGATTTGATAAAGTTAAGGGGGGGTGATGGCTTACCCTGATCACCCCCCCCTGTTAACCCTAGAATTTGTATGATCACCCCCCCCCTGATGGGCCATTATAGTATTAGGGCCCTTTGGAATTGACCTCCCTTCAGCATCCCACAGAGGCATGCTTAAGCTCGAGGAACATGCATCATCCACTCGAAGAGATCTGCAATTCGACTCGCTTGTTAGTCCTACGAATTCCAAGGTTGCTATTCCTCGGATTGTGCGCCCCAGCCACGAAACGCAATCCGCCGTGCTAAGAGAGCATGCCTGGAATGCAGACATCGAAAGACGAGATGTGACGGCTACCAGCCATGCCATCAATGTGACTTTTTCAATGTCGCTTGCGAGTATGCTGAGGGGAAGCAAGAGAGAGCCAAGAGGTACATAGTTCCACTCAGCGCTAGGTTCCTTGAGTAACAATACCGCAGACGAGTTGTAGAACTTGAAGAACAAATTGGTGTGTACGATCAGTAGCTGCGGCGACTACGATTCAAGGTAGATGCCCAGGACCGAGAGATGATCGATAGAGTTCTCAATCGGGTATGTATATCCCTGCAATCATCGCATGCAATAACCCCAGGATGATATTATCCATAGTATAACCTAACCTCGTTTCTGGACACGCGGACTAAGTTGGAGCGGGAAAACCGATAGTTTGGGAGCAGGAAGGCCAGTACCGAAACAATCGGCAAGTAAACCAGATTTGGTTGATCGCCATCAATATGGAACACCAAAGCGGTGAAAAAATACAGGTGTTGGCCAGTTTGGCAGAGGCGGCATAGGCTCACGTATACTGTGGCCCCGTATAGCACGATGGTGCTTCCCGCTGAATAAATATCAATACCTCCGCCATATCGATTAGTCTCACCCTTCAAAGCAAACCGATAGTAAGAACGAATGAACGGCTCGCGAGTCCGTCTCCTCGGCATATGTTCCAAGCCGGCAGTGACTGGCTTCGGATTTGAGGAGTTCTTGGAGGTAGAGCACACGCTCTCCAGATCGCAACACAACTAGAATGTATGCTGCCTCTTCATCCTCGGCCTTTCATTTCCGTTTCCCACTGTCCTTGTTTCCGAGACGCCAATCGCACAACATTCTTCGCTCCATCCTCCACTGTCCCTTGGCCCTGTAGGCATTGAGGTCCGTTGCCATATAGCCTAGACAGACAGCTATAAACGACCCATGTGTAGCCGTACCGTGTCTCAAAATGTCTCTGGATTTCAGCGTCCAATGAGCCATTGTAACATACTGTCACTAATCTTCCATCGAACCCCGGTACGGTACCTTATGGGAACCAGCTCCCCAGGCCAGTTCGAAGTGTTCGGGAAGAAGAACGTGACTATCGAGATATAATTCGAATGTATTGCGGTACTAGCGACCAAGAGCATGCCTTTCACATAGATGCCATCTGGAGCACTTGGAGGCATTCCCGAATTCTTGGAAGGGAAACATCTGAGGCTAGGGTCAAAACGTCTGTGCCGTTCTTGACAAAGACAACGATGGGCAATTCTGTGCTGGAAAGGGCTCCGGAGAGCAAGGCGTGCTTTCTGACGTCGACTCGGTAGAACTTGACGCTTGTGAACTCATCACTCAGTTATGAAAAAAAGAGGAAGAAAGATTGGCCGAGACTTCATTGAGCACTTTGGGGAACCACAAGAATGAGGCTACACTTAAAGCTGCTAATTAAAAGCGGGTTGGAAGAAGAGGCACAGTTCCACAGATCTTTCGCAAGGGTATAGACTGTATGACTGCCCTGAAATTTAACCAAGTGCTGCTTTGGGGTGCAGTCTGCAGGAACTAAGGTCATCGCGGAAACAATGCATACTCTAGGGGGAAATTAGTTAAGCCTACCAGCAGAACACTGTCACTTGGAGCGACTGGTTGGGAAAAGTCATTTGTTATATAATGTTACTATATGAGTTTTGTGAAAGTAACACCACATTATTGTGCTGATTATAATGAAGGGAAACTGAAAGATAGTAACCCTAGCAAAGCAGAAGAGTAATTAAATAATTCAGAACACTAGGGGGAAACAGCAACACTCTTGAATTACTGTAATATTTACCTGCCATGCAAAGCAATAGCGGGCATGACTGATGTGGTTGTAAAAAAAGATACTTAGCAAGATTTAATGATTTTATCGAATAGGTGAGGGCTGAACTGAATCTGCAGATGGGCTGGGTATCTAAATCTGGTTAATTAGCTATTTGTTGGTCAACTTTCATTCCGCTTAACCAGTATGAATTGCCAGCGGGGTGATTTCAGTTGATTGAATTCCTAATGAAAATACCAGGTCAGGGGTCTTTGAGCATTGTACACCTCCTAAGTCTGAAAGACACCTACTCCTGCTACACCATCTAGGCTGCTCAGATCTAGCTTATTGCTGCTCACCTCGGCTCAGTTCTGCTCAGTTAAAGGTGCAGATCACCCAGGGAGCGCACAGTATGCTTAGTGAGCGTAAGGTGAGTAGCGATGAGCTAGATCTGAGCATAAATATTGTTATACTTTGCTTATATTAGCCGCAGCAGAACTATATGCCGCGATGTTTTGTGCTCATTCATGTCTCGGGGAGAGAAATGATCCTACAGTCTTGAAAAGACTCTTATCAGCTTGTAATATGTACGCTCGCCCAGTTGCTACACATTAATCCTAATTCTCTCCCTTTGTGGACTAGGTACTGCGCGCTAGCCGCTCTTACACCTTTTTGTTATTCTGAATTTTCACTGTGGTAGATTAAGCTATCCATGTCCGGTCCATCCATGTCCGGTCCATTCATATTAATATTGTTGACATGATCTGTGCCATTCTCAGATTTCACTAGATGAGTTAGATCTTGTATCTAATAAAGACTACAACCTCGGCTCTCTGGATGTTAACCTGAATTAGCCTATTTCAATGCAGGCTATAACAGCAGGCAATTGCAAGCCAAGCTTCCTCTGCTGCAACGTATCTGTGGATTTGTTCTGACCTGACGGCGGCCTCTATGAAATGTTTAAGCTGTTTAAGAAATAGGATATAATTAATTCTATCCAGTCATGTACTTGTCTTTTAAACGTGCACATTCCCCATAGGATGAGACACTGTACAGTGGGAGACTTAGTTCCTACTTCCAATCCATCTTTGGACAAGGACATGTTATTTCCTACTACATCTTATCCAAATTAACTGGAGATCCATCCACCATCTCTACTATGTGGTCACCTTGCATAATTATGCTGAGGCAAACCTCCGCATGCTTAAGAAGGTAATAGTTAGTGGTATTCCACTCTCTTAAACACAACAAGCTCAACCACTTTGGTCAACTAAGGGAGATCCACATGCATTTGTAAAATACCTTGTGAGTCAACCCATTGCTGCTCCACAATCCAGTTATGTAGGGGTAGATTAGATACCCAAGCAGAGAAAGTAGATCTTTGGTCGTTGCTGTGAAGACTTAATGCGAGTGGGTTGCAATGCCTCCTCTATGTGCTGTTGTTATTTGGTAGTGGGACAGGAACTACATCATTTGGCAAAAAGTAATGTGCAGACTAGTGAACTGTTTGCATTGATCCTGTGGATTGTAGAATGCAACAAAACAAGGATACATAACCAGTAACTAGATCATCCTTTATTTTGCAACACTCATACCCCCCCTATCCTACTCCAGTCTGGTGTTATATCCGTGGCCTACGACAGTCCACCAGCGAGGCATAAAGTGAGTGATTAGCGATGGGTGGCTGCCGTTAGAAATATGCTAGACTGTAGTAACCTCTTCTATCCATCTGTGATATCCACTGACTTCATGAAGGACGGATGATCAGGTTTTATGTCTATCATAGAGCGCATACACTCATCAACCATTGACACGTGCGCATATGAGCGCTGACTATAGACAATTCTTCTCCACCCCATCTGGTCCACAACCTGGGCACACGGATTATAGGCAAAAAGGCCACCCACGCAGGTGGTCTATTCTCTAGTATCTTGCCTGAGTCAAGCTTAAGAATAGCGCGGATGCGGGTTTATTCGATCCAGACTCAGAGAGTGTAGTAACCAAGACCTCTGTCAAGGACATTAACCTGTTGCTCTATTACCCTATTGAAAGTCTCTTGAAATGGCCTATTAGCATAGTAAGTATAAAAGGCTAGAGAGCCAATATACAGTTGTTATTTGTATTCAATAAGGGACCTGACGCTTTGAGACACTAATTACTAACTATATGCATATTAAGGATGGCGCATCCCATAAATTATGGTTACTCTCTAAGCTATTAAATGGAGCGGTAGCTAGCACAGCTAGAAGAGCTCAGGCAATTAACCTGCTTTTTAGATATATTAGGTTATGGCCATGGGGAAGAAGTAGTTAATTATTCTCTTAGTCACTAGGTGATATTATAGGAGTGGTGAATCACAAGCTTCTTTCAGCATGGTTCTATATTAGGTTATCCAATCCTCTTCTTAAGGGTTGTACTCTAGTACACTTAGATTGAACCTTAAGACCTGCCTGGATATTAGTCTGAGAATAATCTTATTACCTCTGACTAAGATGTTTCTTATCCCTTCTCAGCTTTAACAGAAGATTAGCCTCCTTTGTAGTCTATGGTTCACCCTTTCTAGAGGTCCCATGGGCCTCACTGGTATCTTGCTATTTTTACTCACCCTCAGCAGAGAGGGCTGAGCAATAGGCTAACTGAGTATCTTCTTTTCTACATGTTAGCACGGAGTCAAGCATGCACCCTGATAGAACACCCTTTAAACAGCTAAGAAAGAAACTATAAACGCCCATCGAGCGGCAGAGACAGGAAATGAGAATGGAGGATGGTGAATGAATCCTCTCTTATCTATTATTTATTAGGAACTTATAGCTGTTTTAGGGCTTGCCTATTTGATTGCTGCCTCTTGTATTTAGATGTTGTTGATGGTTTGCTGACATTGTTAGAGTGAGATGGGTTGGGTTTAGTATTATGATTAAATAGGCGCAATTCTTACTAACCATGGGTGTGGGAATGGTTATTTATTTAGGTGCTATTATTTCTGCTGTCTATACTATTATTATAATCTTGATAACTCTAAGCTACATTGTGAAGAACAGGTAGAGGTTCTAGATATAGATAGATTATCTCTGAAATAATAGTACTGTCGCATCCTAGAACTAGCTGACACTGACTACTAGCCTCCCATGGGGCCATCATCAGCAAAGGATTGCGGGATTAATAGGAAGTAGTGCTCTGTATATCTAGGAGCCAGAAGATCTCTTTCAAGCTATTATCCAAGGTAGATATGCTTAGTAATAGTAGGATAGCTTCTGTAATACCTCTAGGAAAGCAGGGTAGCTCAGTTAGGGTCCTAGTGTTTCTTAGGAATTGCAGTGCGAAGCTATATCTGGGGTTAAGGCGTGAGGTGTTTAAGGTGCTATATTATATAGAGGTGTTATACTATGCTTAGCCTTCTTTAGGCTTATCATGCTTAGTGGTTTAGCAGGTATCTCCCCGGTGCACATGGGCGAGTGTTCATACTTAAATTCATGCAGACCTTGGCTGGTGGCCGCCACAGGGAGGTGATGCTTAGGAAAGGGGAGAGTGCTTGGGAAGGACTCATAGCAAGGTC